GTTGCAGAAATTGGAATTGGGTTGGATTTCCTAAAGGGTGGTACACCTTATTGCTTAATGGCACATCCCATCTTTGTAGATGACATAGAGACACACTTTTATTTCAGCATTTAAGCATTAAGCAATTATTTTAATATGTGTTCAGAACATAAGTAGCCCATGAAACTGGTGATTTCTCTGTTGCTTAGGACAAGCTTCAAGTAGGTATTTCTGTTTTTAAAAAAGTGCGTTGATTTAAAGAAAATGTTAAGTAATAGTACAGGTGGAATAGCAACATACCCCAAATTGTCAAGGTGGAACCACGTTGGAGGAGCTCTGAGCCAACACTGAGACTCTCAAACTTTGGCCCCAAATGTGGGTGTTTGGGTGTCACATGGAATACGTGTCACTGTAGTGGTCAGATGTTGAAAAGTGCAGACCAGATCTGCAGACTTTCCTTTGAAAGTTCATCTTTTAAATGCCTCCTGAAGTTCTTGAGCTGTGTGTCTTTGCAGAAGAGAGAACTAGATTTTGGGCAGAGCCTCCTCCTGTTTTCTGTAGAATGTTGGATATTCGTGCTTATCAGTGTTATGGTCCCAAGTTTATTTGTAACACCTAAATCAACTTTCAAGTTCTATTTCAAACACATTGATACTTAAAATAGGATAAAATGTGTGTGGTGTATTTTTGTGTATATGCCTTAGCCTTTTTTATTTTCCAAAACACAAAAACAGCAAAACCTGTTGGTTAAATATTAAGAAAACAGATAGTTCCTCACATATTGTTTTTAACAAGTGCTGGCATTTTCTCGAATGTTACTCTGTTGGCAGGGCTGCAGAAATTAAAAACTAGTAGCCATAGTAGCCAGTTGGATTCATTGGCTGTATCTCCTTATTCCACTGCTCTTCTCCTTCCTACCTTACACTGGGTTTTCTTAGGCTCCCTTTATTTTATTTTATTATTTTATTTATTTATTTATTTATTTAAGATTTTATTTATTTATATGACAGAGAGAGAGACAGTGAGAGCAGGAACACAAGCAGGGCGAATGGGAGAGGGAGAAGCAGGCTTCCCGCCGAGCAGGGAGCCTGATGCGGGACTCGATCCCAGGACCCTGGGATCATGACCTGAGCTGAAGGTAGACGCTTAACAACTGAGCCACCCAGGCGTCCTGGCTCCCTTTATTTTAAATCAGTGATCAAATAGCCTTGTCATTCAGCGTTACGCTTTTTTTTTTTTTTTTTTTTTTGCCTTTTTCAGTTTTGTACTTACTATTTTTATCTTGCATCATTTTTGTTTCCTTTCCAGTCCGTGTTTCAGTGGACTTTGCCAGTCTTTGTTCCTTCATAACCCAGCGTCCACGTTCTGACAGGTGTTCCTGGCACCACGCGGTCCTACCTTCTCTGCCATTTTCCTTGGTCATTAGTGAGTTGAGATGGTCTGGTCTGCTGAGGATCGACACCTGTGCCAGGCTCTTGTCCTTCACACCGTGGGGCAGTACATGCTCTAGATGTTCTAGAAAGCGACCGATACATCTTTGGTAACCAACTAAGCCCTGAAGTAAAATAGTTTCTAGGTATTCTTCAGTAGTGATCTCTTAAGACAAATAAAATGCTAATAGGCCAGAGCCATAGAGCCTCAGTTATTTTTTTGAGTTACTAAAATGTGCATATAAAGGCCTAAGTTGCATAGAAATAAATTAGTGGTGGAGATATAAATAAATTATATGTATTTATATATATGTGTTTATATGTGGTTGAGCAGTATGTGCTTGATTATCCCTTAGAATGCTATTTTGTTGGCTGTATTCTTGTGATGACCAAAGTTTATTAATAATACCTGGTCACTATAGGAAATTTAGAACACGCAGAAAAGTATCAAAAGACAAACCAGCCATATTACTCCCACCCACAGGCAGCCACTGTGAATGTCTTGACACATTTTCTTCCAGGCTTTTCTATGCATTTTTATTTCAGATTTTTTTTTTTAAAGATTTTATTTATTTATTTGAGAGAGAGAGAATGAGAGATAGAGAGTACGAGAGGGAAGAGGGTCAGAGGGAGAAGCAGACTCCCTGCTGAGCAGGGAGCCCGATGCGGGACTCGATCCCGGGACTCCAGGATCATGACCTGAGCTGAAGGCAGTCGCTTAACCAACTGAGCCACCCAGGCGCCCCTATGCATTTTTATTTCAAATAATTATTATACTTTATATAAAACTTCATATATTGCTTTTTAAAGCTAGAATTAAATACTTTCCATGTTATTACAGATACTTCATGAATATAATTTTTATGTTTCTATAATATTTTTTCTTGTGGATTTATGACGCTTTCCTGACCATTTCCCTAATATTGGACATTTAAGTTGTCTTCGGTATTGGGATATTATAAGTAATTTTTTTTAAGGTTTTTTTTTTTAAGTTCATTTAAGTGATCTCTATACCCAACGTGGGGCTCGAACTCACAACCCCGTGATCAAGAGTTGCATGCTCTGCCAGCTGAGCCAGCCAGGAGCTCCTATAAGTAATATCCTTGATTAAACTCGGCAGAAATCTTTGTCCACATGTGTGAGTATTTCCTTAGATTTTCAGAAGGGAACCACTGGGTCAAAGACTATGAAAATGGAAGGTTACTGATGCATATTAACAAGTTGCTTTGCAGAAATCCACCAGCCAACACTTTGCCCAGCAAATCAGAGTACAGCTTAGCTTTGTCATCCTTGAATATTACTAATTTTTATCATTTGATAAGGTAAATTGTTTTAATTGCTAGTGAACCTGAGCATTTATTTTTTATTTGTAAACTAACTGCTCTGTTTTCTTCCTGGTGTATTTGATTGTACTGTTTGTATAGTGGTGATCTTCACCCTTGGTTGTATTTGTTGCTGACTTTTTCCCATTTGTTTTTTGTTGGTGGTAATATTTTTTATTTTTGTGAAATTTAATATTTATGGCTTTAATCTTTTGATCTTTTTCATTGTAATTTCCACCACTGTTTTAAAATATTCCTCATCCTGAAATCAGAAATATTTACCATGTGCTAGCACATACTGGACCTAGGCTTTTTTGTCTTAATGCTCCTAAATTTTTCATCCATATGGAATTAATTTTGGCATATCTATGCCAGGAGGTAAGGATCACAATGTATTTTTTTTTCCAAATAGCTAACCGGTAGCTCCAGTACTTTTGTTAAATAAATCTTCTTCCCCAGCCCCTTATACCCTGGTTTGTGATGCCTGCCTTATTATAGATTAAGTTATTTTACCAGGGTCTGTTTCTGGACTGTGTGTCTGACTTCATTGATCTGTCTGTCTGTCCTTATGCCAGCACTACACTTAATGTAATTAATGCCATTTTACTTATTCTTAACTTGTCTCCTAGACCACATTAACAGAAATCAAAATGAAAGAAAAAATTCACTTATGAGCATTACTATACTACAAAAATCAAACTCTTGTTCTTTGGCTAAGATATTTTTTAAGTCCTGTTATCATGCCTTCGTAATTTCTCATAATTATAGCAGTTGCATAGATAATGTTTTGTGAGTTTTGGTTTCTTTTAAAGTTCTGCAGGTATTCTATACCCCTTACTCATTAAGCTCTGCTGGTATAAGGAGGACAAGGCACACTGAGGAATCAATACTGGAAAAGGGTCTCTGGATACATAGCAAGAGCCTCACACACGGGATCAGTGATTCTTTGCAGTATAGTGCTGACCAGGTGGTTTAGGCAACTCTGTATTCTTGGGTGTGATTTTGCAAATAAAATGCTTACCATTTCCACTGTACTGAGCATGTATTATTCATATAGTGGTGAGCTTTTTATTATGACACTAGTGTTTTGCAATTTGTGAGTAGCGTTCCTGAATTTTTGTAATTTTGGCTCAAGTTAACCTGTAAAATTTCTGCATTGAGCAAATTATGGGTTTATTTAAGTGAGCCGCTGTAAATGATCTCTGAAAATTCTTTCCTCTTTTTAATTTAAAGTGCAGCACTCGTTAGAAGTCTGAATTATCAGAAGGATGACTGGAGATGATCTGTAAGATAACTTTTGTCCCTGGTACTCGGGGGTGGGAAGAAGTTCTAAGGGCCAGCCCAGTGTTTGCAAGGAGAAGAGAGGGGACAGTGGTCTGCATCTCTTCCTGCTTTTCTGTAGGTTGTCTTTCTGCTGCTGATACCTTTCGGAAGCGAGTGAGGAGTGATCACAGTCATACATGAAGACCTTGTAACAGCCAGGCTAGTTTGTTTAAAAACTGAAAAATTGCTTATTGAGTAATTCTTTCTGACCTTGACACAAGAATCTTAGTACAGAAGTTCACGCTGATCCTTCTTGGTATAATTCTCAGATGGGAGCAATGCCCCTACATGCTTTCCCAAACTTTCTTCACGAGGGTCCAGTATGTGCTAGCACTGTATAAATGTCAGAGTTGAGCCACTGAAGGGTCTGCTAACTCTGAACACTGGAAAGTTCCAGGGCAATAGATCACAGGGAAAGTTACAGTTGGATAGTACATATTGATTCTGTTGATTCCATTCCATTTCCCAGTGAAGGGAAAAGGGAGGAATAGTTCTTGCACTTTCCTAGATAGAGAAATGTGCCTAAGATCCCTAAGAAGAGCTCACCCCCCCACCCGAAAGCAGGGAAAGAAAACTGTGTTCTTTTGTCTTCTTTTATTTCATTAACTCATCAGAACATTTTGGTGCTAAGGCGTGAGTCCATTCAGCTGGAGAAGTATTGTGCACATACTGATGGGTTTAACACTAGTTGCAAAGCTGTGTGATCTGGTCCCGCGTGCAACAGCTCCCCCCCGCCCTCCCGCCCCGGCCCTTCAGGTTTCTAGTACAGAAATCCTTGGCAGAGATTGAAAAGCTTATGACAAAGATACGTAATTTGTCCTACCATTTGTAATTTAAAGAAGGATCATTTAGACATTTCTTAAGATACATGTATAGTTGTGGGTTTTTTTTTTCCTTTTTTTAAAGTTCCTAACCAGGTTTTTCAAAGAAGTTGTTTGTATTCCAGGTGCTGCAGCCCTGAAATAAGTCTTTGCTCTGCCATGCAAAGTGTTCAGAAAGCAAAGGTGGCTGAAATTACATGAAAATGGCTTCCAAGGCCCTGTCTGTTCCTGTAGAGGTCAGAGAAAGCACACCCTGCAGAAACACGATTCGAGGTCAGGAATCCCAGACACCTGCTGTTCCCAGTGAACTGTGTGATGCACATAGAAAGTGTCTGGAAGTGAGGGTTGAGCTAAGTGAACAGTCAGGATAATATCTGGTCTTTTAGCGGCAAATTTGGGGGGAAATATGAAACTCTTTAAAATGGTGGGTTTTTAATTCGTTTTTTAAATTTTTTTGGTGTTATTGTTGATATCCCTATTTGAATGTAAAGTTCCTAACAAAAGAAGCAAGCTGCCTTTAGACTGCATTTACTGCTCTTGATGACTCCAGTTGTGTGTAAATATTAGAAAACAGCAGGGTCCTACATTCCAAGAATCACTTGAGCAGTGCCACGAAGACAAGTGTCCTTACTGGTATTGTAGTCATACTCCCAAGCTCTCCCGCTGTTTCTAATCTGTGCGCACAGCCGTGAAAAAACTGGACTGACATTTACAGGCACAGCAGGGAGACACTTGACTAGGGAATGTTAAAGACTCCGGTACCTCCGATTCAAAGTGGCCACCACACATGATAAATCTTCACAGGAGAGCTAGTCTGCACTTCAGCTGATGCCATAATGAGGGTATCTGTAATGAAGCAAAGAAGTAGAACATTTTTTTCCCTAAGCTCAACTTTTTAGCAATCAGATATTTATTGTTGTCTTTTTCAGACCTAACCATCTACAGGGAGACTCTCATTCTGGGTAGGGGAAGGATCTTTTCCTTTTGACCGGTGCTTTTTGGAGGGCCTCCTCCTTCCATCCTCCGTCCTCAGTCCCTGCCAGGGCTGTACAGGAACTTTCCTCAGTGAAACAGCACTTACCCATCAGCTGTGAATAAAAATAAAATTTCCCGGAATCTGCCCTAACTGGGATGTCAAAGAGGGTCAGTTGCTTTCTGACTCGAGTCTGACAGACTTCACTCCCGGTTTTGTCCCAGGGAGCTGACAGATTTGTATGCCATAATACCAGTAATGCAATTAGGTTTGCTGCACATTGTCTGGTTGACTTCTCAGTTAAGAGTTTCTTTCCCTATGGGAATAAGACCAGACAGACTGTCATTTGCTATTACTAATTCTGCTTAGCATTATCACTGGAGCTTTTTTTGTAATTAGCTATCTTAGTTGGCTCTTAAATTTTAATAGCCAATTGAAGCTACGTTTTAGCCAAGTTCCATATCTAAATTGCATTCAGTCCATTAACAAAGTTGGTTAAAAGGCTATTAAAACAAAAGCCAATATATGGTGGTTCGCACTCCCCATGTTTGCCGCTGTAGCAATGCCAGCCTCCCGCGCGTTCTCTAAAGGAGCTCACTCTCCTCCAGCAAAGTTACACACAAGCTGGACTGAACTTCCAAGTGGCAAGAAATTCATGTCGACAAGATTTTTGTTACGTTCACATACTCAAAAATGTCACCGCTCACACCCGGTTCCTTTTTGTGAGGGTTCTTTTGGGGTTGGGCTTTATTTGCTTGGTGGCGACAGAGGGGGGAAGAAAGGGGCATTTAGTATTCCAACTGAAAATTGACGGTTTTTGAAAGTGAATAATTGAAATGATGTTTTTCTCCATTTCAGCTGATCAAAATTATTAGCAAAACCATCTGAGGCACCTTCTGGTAGAATTGTAGTCTTGCTGGGTTTAGTTTGTAAAACATTCTGCCAGACATTAAAAAAAAAAAAAAATTGTAGCTGAGCCAGCACATAGGCTCCCAGCGCCCGTTGCCTAATTGATAGTCCCCATTGTCATTATTTTTAAATTCAGAAGACCATTTCTGATGCTAACACCCCCGCCCTTTGCAAATTAGTTTTCCATGATTTTAGTTTCCACGTGGAGTCTTCCTCCTTCCAGATCGGGATGGTGGGTCTGTGTTCCATGTTCAAAGATACTTGATTTCAGAAATTTGTATAATTTGTGAGGCAGGCTGTCAAGAGAAATTAGACTGGTATGGGACGTGTTCAGTTGACATTTCATCTCTGAATCCTTGGAACCCTGGGAATGAAGATGTGGAGAGAAACCAGCAGGCAAATGAGTCTGTCACCTTGACTGAGCCGAGTGCGTCTGAAGCGCTTCCCCACCCCCACCCCACCCCGCCCATTTGGCCAGTGCCCTGTTTTGAAATGAACAGGTAGTTTTCCTATACGTATTAAAAAAAAAAAAAAACAACCCAACAACTCCACAAAGAGCGGCTGTTTCTGTTTCCCCATTCAGAAGATGTTGGGAGTTGTAGTTTAAATTTTTAAAGCAGTGAGTGGGTTTGAGTCCTTTACGTTTCGCAGTGTCTGGCCATTCTTCTCCTTGGCCTTCTCTGAGGCCCTCAGGACTGCTGTCCAGCTTCGGCTTTCCTGGTGCTGTCTTCCTCACCGAAGGCCACCTGGCAGACAGATTCTAGTGAAGCCCCAACCACTCCTCATACTTAGTCCTCCACGTGGAAAGGCCTAGTAGCCCACGCTCACATAACTTTGGTCCTGACTCGCTTCTCCAGCCTTTGGCTGCAGGGCTGAGGCGCCATCAGTGAAAGCGTGTCCTCAGTGACAAAGGTGAGCAAGACCAGAAATGCTGGTGGCCCTCTCTGGTGATTTTTGTTCTCTGCCAGAAGCTGATGGAAGAGGGCAAGAGAGGCCATTTTATCCAGCCCTAGATTATATGTTAAAGTGAAAACATACTTTTAAAAAGGTGTATGTGACTAATTGGCCTTCAATAAAGGTGGAACTGGCTCTGAAGATCAGATCACAAACTCTCTAAAAGGTCAGGGCCTGAGGGCTTCTGCCACCGAAGACTGAAGGCAGGGCTTTTAAGGGACCCCTCTCGCTATTGATGGGTGAGCTTTGAGGGCTTTAAGTGAATGTCTGCAATGTATGTTAGACCTCACCTGCCCATACATCATTTGAAACTAATTGTTAGGAAATTCCCATTTTTTGAATAGGTAGTACATGCACATGGCACATGATACAGAAATCAGTAGGGAGACAGCAGGTAGTGAGAAGTCTTCAATTGAAGATCATGGGCCTCCAAGGGATCTGGATGGAGAATAATCCTGTTTTATTAGTTGCATTAAAAACAAAGAATCTGGCAGAAAAATTTAAGACCGAGACCCTTTCCTTCCCCCTAGTGCCAGCTCCCCTCTGTTACAGGTTTGGATAGCTTTCCAAAGCCACAGTCCATAGATCTGCATGTGTGAGTATGAGAGAGAGAGACAGAGACAGAGACACACAGAGGGAGAGAGCAAGGCAGGGTTGTGGGGAGATGGAAAGTTCTTAAATTTTCTGTGTTGTGGTTTATTGGATAAAGGCTTGAGTCAGGGTATGGGGCCAAATGCCAGATTTTAATGTAACTCCTCATGATGTTAGGGGACATACTGTCTTATCATCTGGTCTCTGTTTTACATCATTATCTTTGAAGATCTCTTAATGACCCATCAGCAGAGGTGATTGGCTTTGCCTCTGCACTGGAGACCAGTGGCTCTGGCTCAGGAGCCCAGCACAGACCTCGGGCGTAGATTTGCAGGCGACGGCTGTTTGCACAAGCCTTCCTGGTCCCCTTCTCTCCCATCCTGGGGCTTCCTCTGTGTATCCCCTGTGTGGGATCTCCTGTTCCCTGGTCCAGCATGTTCCTCTTTCTGGGTTTACTCCTCTTAGCTGGTGGAGCACATCCTCCCATTAGTTTCTGGAGGAAAAAGGTATATGGGAGGTAATTGTTTTGAAATCTTCAGGTCTAAAAATGTCTTTGTTCTCCCCTTCTCTCGACTGATAGTTCAACTCAAATAGAATTGCAGATTGGAAATCATTTTCCTTTGGTGTGTTGAAAGCATCACTCTGATGACTTCTGGGTTCCAGGATTGCTGTTGAGCACCTGTCTGTCTTCTCCTTCTGGAACTTCTGTTATTCAGATGTTGGGAATCCTGGACTGATCTCAGCCCTTTTTCCTGCCCCCCGAACCCTCCCTCCCCAGCTGCTTTCTGTCGCTTTTGTCTTTTTTCCTCTACTCCCTGGGAGATTTCTTCAGTGTTTTCTTCTAATCTTCTGGTTCTTAAATTTTTTTCCAGGAGCTCCTTAGTTATCCTAATTTCTTTAAAATGTCATCCTGGACTTAGTTTATGGATGCAGGATCTTCTGTCTCTGAGGACGTTAATTGTAAGATCTGGAAGCTCTCTTGTCCCCACGTAGTCTCTCTTTCTCCCTAGTTACATTCCTTTTCTCCTATCTTGTTTGTTTTGGTCTTTGTCTTTCATTTGAGATGGTTTTCTCAAATGTCTGGTTTTCATGGCTGTCTGTTTACATAGAAGCCACTGAAAAGGTGATTGGGAGTTCCGAGTCTGTGGGATGAGGAGGGGTTTGGAGCTGTCATTTTTTTTGGCTTCCCTGTAGCACGGGTTGTTTTTAGAAGAACCCTGTCTCTTAACCTGGTACCTTCAGAAAGTCGAGCCGGAGATAAAGGCTTATGTGCAGGTGTTTTATTGTGGATGTGGTCCCTGGGAGAAGTGAGGGGCAGGGAGGAAGGGAGCACAGTTACAGTGGTGCGTCATCAAGTTGGCTGTGAACGAAGAGTGACCGGCACTCAAATCTTGCAGGACCTTCTAGATAACCCAGTGAAATGCTTTTTTCCCATGGCCTTTCTTTGCGTGCTAACTTCCCCACAATCCTGAGTTGCACATGTGGAATGCCCACTGTTCTTGCCAGGTGTTCCCTGCAAATTCCAGAGACGGAAGTAAGAGGGGCTTTCAGGTCACACTTGGGAGCGGGTGGAAGCCTGTGCAGAGACCGTCTCTGCAGCTGGGGCTGGAATGAGAGGATTTGAAGCAATGTACAAGAGGTACCCCATGCCCTGCCATCTAATTAATTATCTTAGTCTTTCCTCTTGGATTGGTCAGTTTTCTTGGAGAAGATTCTTCTATCCCTTGCCCAGAAGGTTGAATTGTTAAGAGAGCCCAATCGTCTTACCTTAGGCCGCTGTAACAAAAATCCAATAGACTTGAGTGGCTTATAAACAACACACGTGTACTTGTCATTGTTCTGGAGT